TACCTTATCTTGCAGTTAATTCGAGTAATTACAGAAAAAAAAAACACAAATCATAAAAAAGAAAATTAAAAAGAAACCTGCAACTGATTTTAATACGAAGTTAAACCAGACAGTGACAAAAGTAAAAAGATTTCAGTGGTTTAACAGCAACATGAAAAATGCAACTGCAGCTGTTCAAACAACTCAATGTCACAACGAAAAACTGCAGTACGATTTAGTATTACTCGGTTTGCCTTTGGTAAATAATTTAAGGGAGATTCAGCTCTTGGCGTCAAATCTTGGTTTAGTCTAATATTATCTACAAATTTATAAAATCAGACTTAGCTGTAAGACTCCATTTAAAGTTTAAACGTTCAACTTCTTCAGAATAATGGTGACCCTTATTTAATCAGCGACATACAAGTTTATTTTTGCGAAAGCCTTAAAGTTATTTCATCAGTTCACCATCAATGCATGTCTGTACTAGAAGTAGATAATAATTTGTAGTCACTACATGATTTTTTTTAAAGGACTCATATGCCCTTTGTGAGCTGTAACCATCATTGTTGCTGTAAATGCTGCAGGTGGTATAGTACTTTCACATTTTATAGCAAAAGGTAAAACGACAAAATCTCTTCATTCTTTTAATACTGCACATGCACCGTCAGGCTCAAATTGGACTTTTAGTGAGACTGGTTGGACAAAGCAAAGAATTACATTATTTGACTCACCAGTACTTTTTTTGCCTAATATAGGTTGAATTCTTATAGTTGATGTTCACGATTCTCATAACTCTCTTGAGCTATTGTCTGTTGCAATCAAAAATAACATTTACATTGTGGAAATGCCAGCACATTGTTCCCATGGGCTCCAGCCTCTACATTGCACAGTATTTGGTCCTCTTAAAATATATTATAATCAAAAATGTCAGAAATTAATGGTTTAATATCTTAGAGTTAGTGTTGACAAGTCAAATTTTTGTGGGCTTTTTTATAAAGCCTGCAATCAAGTCCTAACAGCTGATATTATTTCAGGATTTTGATCATGTGGCATTTTTCCTTATGATCCATCTGCTGTTCCGAGCACAGCTTACTTACCTAATTCTGTTTATTTCATAGAGCAACTACTTGACAAGAATGATCTGCCTGAATCAAGTCTGCACCCAATCACAACTGAAACTAGAATAACAAGATTCGAAAATGCAATACAAGATGAAGTCAATATTGAAGTAGAAATAAGCACAAATAAACCTGAAAGCATGTCTGTATGTAAAACAGATAGCAAATAAGTAAAGTTTGACAATAATACTGTATCTTTGAAATGTGATTTAACTCATTAGCAGTTTACAACTTTTAATTTCTGTATTCAAAAAAGTTGGCTACAAATTCAAAAATTCTTTGTATAAATTATACAAAGAATTTAAGTTGGAACAGATTATATGAACAAATGCCATTTTAGAAACAAATGATTCTGTTCTAATGCCAATTGAATCCATAGTTCCTACTCCAATTTTAAATGAAATCTATGTTAAGTCAAATTTTGTTTCAAATGAAACGACTAGACAGTCTATTTTTTTTACTATTAATCACAATAATCAGATGTCAATTGAAGTCATTGTTCAGCCTAACCTTGTACTAATTATTTTGTGTAAAAAGCATTCAGCTAATGATAGTGACAATGATATATTGCCTTATCCGAAGATATATGCTACCAAGACAAACAAAAATCTAAAAAAAAATTTAAAATATTTTGTATTTACTTCTTAGGAACAAAAGAAAAAGAAAATAAGGCACAACAAAAGCAAGAGAAAGAGATTCAAAAGTTACCTAAAAGAGCTAATTTAGTTAAAAAGGTAAAAGTCAGTTTAATTCCAAAGATACTGAAAGTCAATATCTCTTCAGAAAATCAAAAAATTTTAACAAAAGTACTAGAGTAAAAAACTCTATCGATAATAATATTAGTGAGATTATTTAATAGATTATCAATAGTTTATTATCAAAACTCCACAGTATATTATTGTAATGTTTTTGTCCATATATTGAAAATTGCATTATTTTATGCAAGTTGAAATCTTTTAACAGCTATCCCAGTGGGCACGGGACATAAAAAAGGGTTGGCCCTCTTTCATATAAATCAAAATCAGGTTTTGAATTTTCAAAAAAACGCAGACCGAGAATCTTTTTTGTGCTTTATTGCGCATGCATTTTTGGTTCACCTCATTTTGAATTATAAGCGCTAAGCCTATTTACAAAGCTATTGAAAACGGATAAAGGTGAACAATTGTTAGGTAAGAATAAATTATTTGTTACTATATCTTACCAAATCTTCTATTATAAAAGTATAAAATAAACATTAGAAAACAAATATGTGTTTAATTAAAAAGTATAATAATAAAGTTTTATAAAAGTATTCATGTTTTGAATTTGAATAAACATTAATAAAGTTTCAGTCTAAATATTTCTGAAAGCTCTTTAAGTGTTGTAAATGCAAAAGTAAATGAGAATTTTTATTGAATTGCGCCAAGCAGTTGATGTCTTAGAGAAGCATAATAAATTAAGAAGTTGTTACCAGAATGCGGTAATAGTATCAATGGAAGAAGATGTACACACGAATGTTCAGACTTTCAAAGGAGTGCAATAATAAACAAAATAATAAACTGTAGTGGTGCATCTATAATAACGCAAGGGAACATGTAAAAATCAAAGCATAAAGTAATTAATCATAAATAAATTATTATGACAAATAGCAGACAATTATTATTGCAAAATAATTTTCTGCTATTTGTCGAAGTTATTGACATATTTTGGTATTTCTACTTAAATTTTTATTAGGATTTTTTTTTAAATAGATGCTGACTCAATAACATCTACTGACGTTTCCAATTTTAATGCAGCCTTAGAAACACATTATAGTTGTGCAACATATGCAGATGTTTGTGCAAAAATTAAGGAACACGAATTGTTGCATACTGTGCATTATGTTGTAGTTTACACTAGAAGCATGGAAAAAAATTTTGAAGGTTTGTGTTTTTCAAGTTACATTATTCATAGGGTAAAAGAGTTTATGCTGTCATGAAAAAATATTATAAATAGTCGAAAATTAAGAGAAAGAAATTTAAAAAACTTGAGAATTATGTGTTAATATCTTTATTAAATGTTTTTTCAAAGATGTAATGAAGAAAAATCACAAGATTTTTTTTGAGACAAAAGATAGTCCATACACAGGAGTTCCTTTCCTTATATCATCGTGCAGTGTTCTTGACTGTCAACATGGAGCAGACAAAGGCTGCACAGCAAAAGCTCAATACAGAACCAGAAAAAACAGTGAAGCTGTATGTGCTACCTGATTTTAATTTAAATTATTGTTTTACTTAATTCTAGTTATCATTCAGAGCTTAAATTTTCTCATTAAGAAAAGTTTCTATTTTGCTATACACAAATATATATATATATATATTTAAATTAAATTCATTTGTTTTGAATACACAGGGTACAGATCATTCTTGCCTAAAAAAAAGAATTGTTCTGCAAGATTCCAAAAAATTTGACTGTCCTGCTGCAATTTCAATAAAAGAAATAGTTGAATTTCCTGAATTTAAGGTGTTCCTGTTTTTCTTTTAATAATAATTTTTTATTTATTTATTACATTTTCCTTGTACAATTTATTTCAGATTGAAAAAGATTCAGCATGGTTGAGAAGTGAGGCATCAAAGAAACTTCGTAAAGCTCTGGCAGCTCAAAATGATATTGTAATGTGTAGAAAATATATTTTAATATTACCAGACATTTCTGTTCATAGAAATCATCCAGTTGGTAATGTAAGTATCACAATGTTTACATTGTGATTACAATGTGTTTACAATGGTTACATTGCGTTTTTGTTTTCTTTCTTTATGACTTACCATTTATTCTTTATTAATAGGAAGCAGGACTTAGTCAACCATTATCCAAGAGTATCATTAATGAAATTGCTGAACTTGTAAGAAAAGGTGTTAATTCAGTTCCAGATATGAGGCGTCATCTGGATGCCTTTGTTCAGATGAAATTTGTTTCAAATAACATTCTAAAAACAAACAAACGTTTTTATCCACGGGATGAAACAATTGCAAATCATATGGAGAAGGCTAGAAAAAACTTTCAAAGATCTTTGATAGATCAAGAATGCTTGTTAGGTAAGATAGATGAATGGAAAGTATACTTTCCAGAAGCATGTATATATTTTCGACCTAAAGTTGAAAAATCTGATAACAGTTATCCTGCTCTCAAAAATTCTTTGTTATTTGTGTATCAAGATGTATGGCAAAAGAGACTGCTATTAAGATATGGAAATGAGCTTACCTTTCTGGATGCTACATATCGCACAACTAGATATGCTCTTCCTGTCTTTTTTCTTGTGGTTAAAACGAATGTTGATTACCAAGTTGTTGCCATTTTTGTGTGCGAAAATGAAACAACAGAAGCTATCACAGAAGCTCTAACTTGTATTAAAAAATGGAATCCTTTATTCCAGCCTAAGTGTTTTTTGACTGATTATTGTAATGAAGAAATTAATTCTCTTGAATCTGTGTTCCCAGGTAAAGTCATTTTCCATAAATATTTATGCTCTTTTCTATTACTTACATGTAATATAATTTATATTTTAATAATATCCAGCATTAAAAGTACTAATTACTGCTTTAGAAACAGCCCTTTTTTAAATTTAAACATCTAGGTTAATTCTTTTAAACACTTTAAAAAATAAATTTGTTGAGATTATATAGTATTTCAAGTAAATGCTGTTTTTGCTTTGAGGTTTTTTATTGATGTTTTAGTTATCTTTTTTTAAACATTTTTTTTAAACATCCAAGGCTTAATTGGATGAGTGTATTTAAATGTAAAAGGAAATTATAAATGTTCCTTAATTTTTTTATTTTGCATAGAATGTTGTGTGATCATTTGTGATTTTCACAGAGAACAAGCTTGGGAGAGATGGTTGTCAAAAATAGCCAATGGATGTTGCCTGGAGAAAGATGAAATTAAGCTAAAACTTCGTCAAATTGCCCATGCAAAAACTAAAGAAGCTTGTCAAGCAGCTGTTCAAAAATTAGAAGAGTCAACAGAATATAAAAACAACCCTAAACTGATAGAATATCTTAAAAACACTTGGTTGTGTATCCTAAAGGTTAGTAACAGTATTATTCATCAGATTGTTAACATCCAAAGTATGCCTAATGTATCCAATAGGGTTAGTAAAAATGTGTTGTTAAAAGTTAATGTTTGCCACGTAACAACATGTTCTTAAAATTTGCTAGAAGTAAAGAGTTACTTTCATCTTCTATTTTAGAGATGGGTGCTTGCTTACAGACGAGATCGTCTGCTGATAAATGTCAACACTAACAATGGCACTGAACCGCAAAACCAAACGTTTAAGTACAGTTTTTTGGAGAAAAGGAAAAGTTCTTCACTTACATCAATGCTTAGCATTTGTATAGAAGAATTTCTTCCGCATAAATATGACAAGTTAGTTATTATTTTTATTAAACTTTTTTCAGTTTAAAACAAAACTAAATTTTTTTTGGCTACTTGTGAGTTATAACTTGTTCATATCACTAATTCTGAATTCATCTGTGCTATCAGATGTGCTATCAGATGATTATGTTTTATTTATTCTTATTCTATTTAGCTATGCTGATGAAAATAGAAGGGCACATACATCGTATAGAAAATACAATGCTAACATTCCAGCTTATTTAATTAATCGACCACCACCTCTTGTAAAACATTGTATGAGAATGATCGATATATGTCAAAGTGTAGGGTTAGTTGGAATTAGTTCTGTAACAGCAGGATTGTATAATGTCGCTTCGTTTCAATCTAATAACCGAGACATTTACCAATGTTATTTTGGTGATGCTGAACAACTACCATATTGCTCTTGTCCAGCTTGGTTTGAAAGTGCATATCCATTGTCCAGCTTGGTTTGAAATTGCATATTTTTTTGCAATTTTTATCAAAGAAAATCTCTCTTGGTCGTCTTTTGGTTCCTCTTATCGAAATTCCCCATATTTTATTCTTGATCCATTGTTGGATGAATATCATTCTTCAACTTTGGCTCCTTGTCTAGATTTATTGTATTCCAACAATAATTTGTTGGAAAATAATCATGTTAACAGTGCTAAATCGTTTTGTGTTGGATCTTCACAGAATGAGTATGATCAGACAAAAGCTATGAGTTTAGTGGATAATACAAATAGTCTTGGTTACAATAACCTAAATAGTCAAGCTCTGTCTATTCAGCACACACCTGCAGCGTGTCGTGAACTCTTGAATGAAATAATAAAAATGACTCATTTAGGCAGTTCTCAAACAGCAACAAATAATTTGTTCGAAGGCCTTTGTAAACTTAAAAATAGTTTTGAGGAAACTTTATTGAGAGAAAAAGGTATTCTTCTGCGTCAAGAATGTAAACCAGATATTTGGAGCAAGCCTCTTATAAATTCACCAAAACTTTGTCAGCTTCCAGTTCGACGCAAAAGAAAAATGGCAAAACGAGTTGGTATTAAATATGACATAGCTAAAAAAGCTTCAAACATAAATTTGGTAGTAAAAGTAAAAGATGAAGTTTCTTTTTCTGAGGTTGTTACAAACCACGTGATTGATGAAAGTTGCGAAATGTTTTCAGTGCCCAATTCAACAATCGAATGTGAAAAAGAAAAATCAGGTGATTGCCAAAATCTTTTTGAATCTACTGAAGTTAGTGATGATGTCCAATTGCAAAGCGCTGTTCAATGTATTCAGTTTCTGAAGTCCTCTTTAATTAGAAATTCAGAACAAAATGATATTGCAAATGGACAAATGCTTGATGACAATCTCATTCATTTGTGTCAACAAATGATGTCAGTTGGATTAAAAATTAATGAAGGTCTACAGGATCCAATTAAAGGAAAAGTATTATCTTTTAATGTCCATTCAAGTACTCCATTCGTCCAAGTCCTTCATGATGGCAATCTCCATTGGGTTTGTGTAAGCACGTATGGTTGTGCTCCTGGAGAAATATTTCTTTTTGATAGTCTCTTTAATGGCAAAATAAGCTTTGACACAAAACAACAAATATGCTCCATTTTACATTGCGAACAAAAATATCTTGTTATAAAAGTGTTGCCTATTCAACAGCAAACTAATTCTGTCGATTGTGGACTGTATGCTATTGCTTGGGCTCGACAGATCCTCGAAACAAAGGGAATGCCATCAACTGCCCTAATGTTTGACCAAAATCAAATGCGAAGTCATCTATTAAATTGTATGCTCAACAACCGCTTGGATGTTTTCCCAAGTACTGTCAAACTTGCGTTTAAAAAATGCTCAGCAAAGACCTTTCGTGTTCGGTTGCATTGCTCGTGTCGCATGCTTTGGAACCATAAAGATGAAGAAATCTTCAACAGGTATATTATTGTTAAATGATGACAAAATTTGTAAAAAATTTCAATATTTTTTGTATTGATGCTGTTGTTTGGAAAACAATTTCACTACTCTTACTACATTTAAGTATTACTATTTTGTATTTCTGAAGGCAAATGGCTCAATGCTACACTTGTGCAAAATGGTTTCACCGTGAATGTGAAAGAATTCCACAGAGTGCTTATGAAATAGAAGAAGAACTTTGGAATTGTCAGAAATGCAACAGTAAACTAGGTTTTTAAGGCTTAGTAAATATAAAAAGATAGCTTCAGGTATTATATTTTTTTAAATATATTCATCAAGTATTTTAAAGGACTTGTGTGCAGACAAAATTGTTACTGGTAAAATTTTGATTTTCTATAAATATATATCCATAACCTTATTAAATAAAGAACAAATTTAATGAATGTTATCTTTTTATTTGCATATATCATCTCAGATTCGAAATTCAAAAACAAATTATGTAATAAATATTACTTAATAACGACTTTATTTTATAGTGCTTATGCCTTGTTATTAATTGGTATAGGTGTTTATACCTTTCTGATGATAGTACATATGTTTGTTAATTGGCATTTTATTATATAACTATTTGTGACACTGGTATAAACTGCCCCATTTGTTTGGTTTGTGTCATAGTGTTGTAAAAATTGTGTTGACATAAACAGCTTATACTGTGGTGATACTTGGCATCTTAAAAACTATATATATAGCCTTTGTGTAGTATGAGCCTTAAGGGTTATATAATTCAAATGTATATTTAATGCTGACGCTTAATATTTCATGAATATATGTATGTAAACATTTTAATTCGTCTTCGTAACACATGCATTAGATATATATAGGTATAAAGTATACCTAAAAATATAGCGATCATATGCTCTCAATATTAAAATTTAATGTGTGAACCATTTAAATTGCTTCAAAGTAAATGGTCTTGATATTACATAGCATTTTGCTAAGTAATCGTTGTTAATTTTTTTTTAGGGAGGTGAGCAGTGCATGGCTACTTTCACGTTAGTGTTCACTGTTAAAAACGGTATCAATAGCCGAATTTCAAAACATGAAATTTACCTTTTAAATCACGAACTAAATGCCAAGACGAGTCAATAAATAAACTTGGTAACACGAGATTTATAGACATATTTTTGTAATCTTAAGTGTTATTAATAATTTTGCTCTTTGGATGAGATTTGGCTTTTTATTAAAGATATTGGTTTCAAAATTGAACACCATTGCCAAAATACTCACAAAACTAAGTAGTTTTTAAAAATCTGTTTTATATTTTGTTTTTATTTAATTGTTTTATACTTTTTACTAATTTACTTTTTTATAACTTCCTACTAATATGGAATCACATAATTTTTTTAATATATGTTTAATCGTTGTCCCTATCGGTAATAAATGTTTTTAATTATTTTAATATGGTTTTCTTTATAATAGGCTTGGCTCCTCGGTCCTGTAGATGGCAGCTGTTATAACTGATTTTGGAAAGTGCCTTCAACGTTAATTGTTTTAAAAGAAAAACGTGTTTTATATATGTTTTTATTTTATAATATTTTTGTTACATATTTAACTATATGTAAATAACTATATGTAAATAAATTTGTTTTAAAGATATGTAAACTTAAGACTTGCTTTTTTACGGATTTTCAGAAAAGTGAACACAGGTTTAAATATATATTTTACAACTGTTTTACATGGTTTTATTATGTATCACTGTTCTCATAAATTTTTTTTTTAACGGTTATAACGTTTCTTATTTAAAAAGTTTCTGCTGGAAGTTTCCCGTATCTCAAATATCAAAAGTTAGGCGCAGCGGAAGCATGTCGCATATCTGCTTCTTTAATTTATTTCGATGTTTATTCCTCCTTTGGTAATTTATTGCTTTGCGATTTTAAATCACTTTACGTCGAAATGTCTTGTGAAGCGATACCAAGTTCTGTCTTCTCAGGAGGGTTAATTCCACTGGTTTTAGCATACTGATTTTTTTGCTTTTTGTAAAAACTTTACCTAAAGTTTACTAACATAAAATTTATTGAAATATTCAAAAAATAATTTTTAGTTTTCAATTCAGAAATTTTCAAGTCTCAAAGCGTGAATGTTAAAATAGTTATAGTAACTTTATAAAATACTTACACAACAAAGAAAATAAGAGGGTACTTAGAAAATACGTACACTTTAAGGTTAACTTCGTCCACTATCTTTTTTTCTTAAGTAAGTTCCGTTGTCTGCAAACCTGAAACCTAATACTTTCAAGTCAGTCGCACAGATAAAACATTTCATGTTGGGATTTCCACCCAGTTGTGCATGTGCAATTACAGAATATTTTAAACGCTTGGTCGTTGTTGTGGTTTCGGCAACTCACTAATACGAGGACTCTTGGCGAAAATATGTAAACCTCAAAGCTACTAAATTCATCGCAAAGCGCTATGATACAAGAAATTGGGCTTAGAATCATTAATATGTGCAGGTGTATGCTTATTGGCGTGTGAACCTTCAACTAATATAAGGTATTGCGGTAAATACTACTACGTTAGTAGATCGCTTTTACCGAGCGCAACTACAAAATACGAAAGCATGTAACAGTGTCATGTTTAGCTACACGACTTACGATTCTCCCGTTTTACGGTGATCAATTTTGAATATTTGAAAGAACGTATCTTTTTCATACGAATCATTTAAGACAAAAACAAAGAGCGTTTAATGAAAAATCCATTAGGGCGATTCCGAATTTTGCACTCAAAGGGAATTTTTTTTCACTTAATTGAAAATCTTTGATCTTAAAAAATCATCTATATAAACATTTTTTGTAAATATGTTAAATTCATGTTAAACCTATAAATTCAGCCAAATTGAACTACATAAAATTTGATTCAACTTTTGATAACAGTATACATAGGCAACAAAACAGAATTACGGATTGATTAATTTGACCTGTTTACAACCACTTAGCACGCGAAAATGTCATTTGACATTTTTAATACATAATGTAAAATGTTTTTATTACATAATTTAATACATAATGTAAAATACATAATTTAAAATAAAAATCTAACTAAATACTAAAATGTTCACTGATATAAATGAAAATCTTGCTTTTCTTTACTACGTCTGAAAAAAAATCGTAGCAAATAAGTGTAGTTATTTACTATTACATCTTTTCCGAATCTTTTTTCGCTTCCACGATCACCCACGGGAGGTTTTCTCCCATCAAACTTTGGAAGATCTTTTCCACCATTATCTGCCCAAAAACGAAAAGCTCTATCCTTTTTTGGCCCTCGGTGAGTTTCGCGCCAAGTTATGAAGTCATTCCATGTTAATGATTTAACTAAAATTTCAAAGTTTTTAAATAAAATTCCATTCTCTTTTATTAAAAAAATAATTTAACGAGAGAAACAAATAATTATTAATTAATCCTACTTTTATGTTGGGGTCCAAACGGACTGTACGAGTAATTTGTTTTCGCATTATATATTAATGTAGTTAGTATTTTTTTTTTCAAAATTTTATGTATTTGTTAAATATCACAAGGTGCACAAAGTTCCATAAAATATTTGTGAACATCGCTTCCTTTTTTAGTTATTTTCAAAATATACATCAATGATGTTAGGGTTCACATGGACCCTAACATAGTTTGTCTTAAAAAAGTTTTTTAAAAAGGTTTTTCATAACTTATGCTTTTAAAAAATGTTTTTATTTATCTATTTGTAACTTACTTATTCTTTTCCTTTGATAAATTTAAATTTCATAACAAATATTAAAACTTATGGCTGAAAATAAAATAAAAATTTAAAATATTAGATACACTTCTGAATAAGCTCAGGAACTATTTTTTGCATCACTTAAGAGAGATCTATCAAGTGAAGAAGAGTTCACATCTGATGATGATGAAGAGGAAAAAGAAGTCAAAAGATACTGAGCCATCAGATGATGCTGATTTTCGAGTAGATACTCCTGCAGCTTCAATAGTGGAGAATAAATCAACACCATTATTAGGAGCTAGAAAATGTAGAAATCGCGGTGGAGTTAGAGGCACTAGTAGCATTTATGGCACAATTAGTCAAGGGAGAACAAGTTATGCAAACCAGGTATTAGAAAGACGAAATAAACATAAAGATATAGCTGAGGGAATAAGTTCAGATAAAACTAATGAAGTAGTAGAGATTGAAGTGGAAGCTTGCAAAATAACAAATGGTTTATAGGTGCCCAAACTTGTTTGTGCTACAATTCCAGAAAATTTGTAGCACAAAATGTCATGAAATTAAAGTCAATATTAACACCATATGCAATATGCATGACAGATTCTATAAATAATGCTTTTCAATTGTTTTTTACTCCAAAAATCTTCAACAAAGTTTAAACTAAATCAAACAAAGGTAAAACTATTTGTAAAGAAAAATGGGCACCAATATCTGATCAGCAGGTGTAGCTGCAGAGTAGCTATGAGACATAAGTGATAGCTGGCAGATTTTTTGTCCTGTAATAAGTCGTGAGCATTTTCATAACATTTCAAGAGTTTCGAGATTTAATGACAAAGCTACTCGATTTTTAAGACACATCAATGACAAATTTGCAACTAGTCGTGAGGTTTTTGACATTACTTGAAAGCGTTTGTACCCATTTTTGGCTACAAATACTTTCAAATAGTTTTAGACCATATGAAAATGTTACTGTTAAGGAACTGGTTCCACTTTGTGGACATTGTTCCTTAAGACAATATATAAAATCCAAACCCTAAATATGGGTTAAAACTATGGTTATTGTGTAATTCTAGTAATAGCTATGTCTTGAATGTAAAAATTTATACTGGCCATGGTCCTGGGGCGGGCCCAGAAAAAAATCTAGGGATCTATAAAAGTTGATGAAACCTATTATTTAAAAAGTAATGATGAAAATAAAGCATAAGATGATAGTAATTTTGGTGTGAAACGAGGTAGATGCAAGCTCTGTGTTAGACCACTTGATAAATGTGATAAATGTAGCAATTTTGTATTCTGCACACAGCAAATTTTTTTGTGAAATCTGTGCCAAATAGACCATACATAAAAATACTTTAAAATTGTAAACAAAAAAAAAAAAAAACAAGAAAAATTTAAAATAAGTTTACCCAGATCTAATAATGCTTTTTTTTCCAGGGATTTAATAATGCATTTTCTTTTGGAAGCAGAGCTAATTAAAAAAAAGGAAAAAAATATTGCCTTGCATTACCAATGAAAAAACCATCCCTAGAATAACACCATAAACTATTAAAATTACCATTTTTCTCTCTTTCAACTAAAATAAATACATTTACAAATTAGTAAATATTAAAACAATATAAAAATTAATAACTGTTTTATACTAAAAAAAAACTATAAATGCTTTATAAATTAAGTGTGATCAAATCCATTTTTTTTTTTCTCTAAAAAGAAAAATTTGATGTCATCTTCTATTGATAATTGAACTTATAAAAGTTTATTATTTTACTATTAACAGAATTTTATTTTATTATCTATTATATAATAAAAAATCTAATTAAATATAAACTATTAACCAAGTTCTTGTAGCTTTTTTTCTAAAAATTTTTTTAATGAAAATATAAATAAGTAACTTTTAATTGGTATAAAAGAAAAAAAAAAATTGAACAATTATATGTTTAAATGACTGTTTTATATTGAGATACAACAATCTGCCAAGTAACTTCAAAAAACTGTACAATTGTTGAACCTAAAATTTATACACCACAGTCTATACCACTTGTCATCAACCCCTGATCATCAACCTTTTGTTTTTCGGCAAATATTTTTTTATTTTGCGAATAAATGCTTCTATATGGCAATGTTTCCTGAAAATTTCCTTACACCAGGTCGCAGAATGGGGGTACCACCACCCAATTTTTTCTTTCAATTTTATTTTCCTATAATAGCCTCTGTATAAAGCCAAGGATATTTAGATTTATTATTTTCAAGAGCACTGTTGAAGGTCACCATTTTGACTGCCAAATGACAACAGAAATAGCATAAGTGCATTTTGTCATTAACCTTATTAAATAGTTTTCCAAATAGACAGTTTTGCTAATTGCATTGTGTGCTGAGGTTGTGTATCTTGTGAGTTCAATGCGCAACCTTGCTTTATGATGCACGGCTGTAATACAACTCGAAGCAGTATCAATTTTGGATTTGTAAAATTACGTGCATTATTTATAAGAATCAATGAAGTTTAAGTACTTTTTTTAATTTTAAACATTAATATTCAAAGTTTTAAAAATATTTTGAAAATTTAAAGTTTTTGTTGGATTAATTAAGACATGCCTTTAAAATTATTTATCGTATGGAAACTTGGTGTAAGTATTATGAAACAAATCCATAATTTGAACTAATTACAAATGAGTACACTAACCACATAGTTTTGGTGTTGGTGGGGGCATAACTATCTTCATCAACAACTAAATTAGTTAGAACTTACATAACGATCTCTGTGTGAATGAAAAAGATTGTGAATCATTATGCATTGAACTAATGAATGGAAAGTAACGAAAGTAAAAGTTTTGTAAATCTAACATGTTACATGTAGAAGTACTGCCAAAAGTAACAAACTATTTTCATAAGATAAATGTACTTCGTTACACCCCAACCCTGCGTATATTTGTATACATAACAAAAAATAAAAAAAATTAATAGAAAAAAAACTTTAAAATATAAAAATATCAAATAAAACTGGGTGTTCATTTTCTGTATGATTACAACTTTTTACTACAGTCATAATTATTACTCTTTTTACTACATAGTAATAATTATTACTACTGCTTAAATTATTGCTATTGTTACTGTTGTCATTATTATCAATATTTTCATTATTATTTTTATTGGAAGCACCAATAAAATAACTTCTTTGCATATGATAATTTCAAACCTGATATCCTTAAAGAGACATTGCTTTTTCCAGTGTGGCTGTTATAATGGTATACTTCATGGCCTTAACATTTTATAACATGTAAACATTTTTTCGAGACAAGGTAATCCATTTTTAGGAGAGCAAGATTTATTGCAACAATTTTGCATGCTTTTATTTTAATAGATAGTTTTTGTGTTTTGGAATCAATTAGTTGAGGTTGTGTCTGTTTTACAAATACGCACCAATACATATATAAAGAACTGGTAAAAATAGTGAAAATGAAATTTAATCTATACAATTCAATTTCCTCATACCTCAGTTCACACACAGAGTCATTGTCAGTGCAATCTTTATAACTTTTGAAAAAAAACATTCAAAAAAACTTGATTATTGTACTTCCCATGTGACACTAATAAATTAACTTATCTACCATTTTTAAACTTTTTATTTTATTAAGAATCATAAGTTTTACAACTTGAGACCATGTATCACTATATTCAAACATAAAAAAACCACACAATTGGAGCAACATGAAAATGCATATTTGAACAAAATGTATATTTATTTGATATTAACATATATAATTAATGTATAAAACATAAATAATAGTATAAAATGTATATTTTGTTGTTTTGAAATTACCAATGGTTCAGAAATAACAGTTTTTTTTATCCTTATATGCAAAGTCATTTACGTACTGTCACCATGTTATTAGCAAAAATATAGCTGCACCCTTAATAAACAATTGTTTCTGTTTACTGTTCAGATTATTCAGAATAATATATTCTGAATAAACTGAATATATTACTAAATTTACAAAAACATATGGAAAAAACATGGAAACTGAAATTGATAGATATTTACTCATGATTAACTACTATATGTTTTAATTTTTACATGTTCTTTTGTGTTATTATAGATGTGTCACTACAGTTTATTATGCTTCTCTAAGACATCAACTGCTTGGCGCAATTCAATTAAAATTCTTATTTACTTTTGCATTTACAACACTTAAAGATTTTTCAGAAATATTAAGACTGAAACTTTATTAATGTTTATTCAAATTCAAAACATGAATACTTTTATAAAACTTTATCATTATACTTTTTAATTAAACATATATTTGTTTTCTTATGTTTATTTTATACTTTTATAATAGAAGATTTGGTAAGATATAGTTACCAATGATTTATTTTTACCTAACGATTGCTCACCTTTATCCACTTTCAATAGCTTTGTAATAGGTTTAGTGAATATAATTCAAAATAAGGTGATAAGTTTTTAAACCAAAAACGAATGCGCAATAAAGCGCGAAAAAGATTCTCGGTCTGCGTTTTTTTGAAAATTCAAAACCTGATTTTGATTTATATGAAAGAGGGCCAACCCAATTCGGAGGGTTCTGTTCCAGAATTCAAATAAGATTTTGGCTAGCGGTCGTTCGTATAATTCAGAATAAGGTACACTTAAAGCGCATGCGTATCAACCGTCAAAAGTATTCTCGGTCTGCGATTTTTGTAAAATTCAAAATCTTATTTTGAGTTATACGAAAGACCGTTAGCCAGTAAACTTATGGTAAAACGGCGGCCGGCGGCGGCCGGCCAAAAGTAGTTGCGTGGCTCCCTCCAACTAGTAATATTCGTTTTTTGTGCTATAGTGTTTTTGATTATATTGAGTGCTTCTAATAGTAATAGAGTTGTATCGCCACGTTCTTAAATTTAATAAAAGCAAAATCAACTATTTTTAGAGTTTTCTTTTCTTTTTTCTCCCTTTCATAGATTTTTTCTTTATATAAAGTTAAAAAGTCCCATGACAATACTTTTAATATAATCGTCATTAAACAATAAAATTACGCTTGATTTTCAACTTGCATCTACGTGATTTCTAATAAGTATAATTGAAATTCTCCAACTTTAAAATAGAACATGCTTAAACGGAAAAAACATCCCCGGAAAAAATCCTTCTGAAATAATTGCGCAGTCTTTTAAATGTAAAAAAAAAATTCCGGTTTTGTTTTTCAATTTTGGTACTTGTTAAAAATTTTTATAATTATTAAAGGTTTTTTACTTTTATGAAAAAGTTTTCTTTGCGATGATTTTTTCTATAGGAGAGGGGGGGGGGATTATTTCAGGGGATTTTTTTCTAGAACCGTCTTGGTGAATTAACTATTAAATTTAATCTTTGTATGGGCCTTAATATTCTACTGGAGCGCGTTACTTGCAGTTCGTTATGTTCTTAAGAATTAACTCGAACTTGAGCAATATCATTGTTGTATCTTCTTTTAGCGTTATCAGTTTTATCTTTTACTCTATAAAAACATCGTTAACTGAATCATTTGAATTTGAAACGCAGATGTGAAATGTGACGTGGATATACTCTATTTGCGATTTCAACGTCAAACGATAAAGTATTTTGCTTCCATACTACACCTGGTATCTACGGCTGGTTACATTTCGTTTCTTGAGTTTTTCCCAAACATTGTTAGCTTCTTTGAATTTCTTGTTTACGGCTTTCTCTTCTGTTTTCCTCCGTGTATTGACACCTGGGATGAAACAAGTTGGCTTTTTTTTTATTTGCTTCGATGGACTTTCAGTGCAGCTGGATGATACTGTCTCGTTTTACAGCAAGGCTGCCTAAGCAATTGAACAATGTGAGCGGGCGGCTGTTCTTCTTATCGTTCTGTGTATGTGTTAAGCTATACCTTTACCTTGAGCTTAATGGGCTGCTCAATATTCCAAACTAACATGCCATTCTTCAGTAAAACTTGTTAAGGTACGCAAACTTCAGCGCACGCGGACCTATTTTTATAACTTAAGCATAATTTTAAAATTTAATAAAAATACTTATTCACATATATACAAAAATGGATTTTTCATTAAATGTTATTAAGAACCTTATAGAAATACAAAAAAATATAGTTTTGGAAGAAACCGGTAGACTCCTTAAAAACAGGAAAAAAAACTTTGCAATTTTAACCTATGCAAATTTGAAAATGTTATCAGATAAGTATGAACATGAAAATAGTAACAAAACATTAAAAATTAATACAATCGCAAACCATTATGATATTTCTCTTCAAAAAAAGTCATTTTATTAGAAACTAAATGGTAACGAATTAAAAAAATTTATAAACCTAAACGACGAAATACCATCAAAAATATTCGATTTTATGAAAGAGAAAACTAAAAAGATTAGCGTTGAAATAAAAGACAAAAGTGAAATCCTTAAAATAAAGGAAAAGCTAAGGGAAATGGAAGACAGATATTTTCATAAATGAAGATTTTTGAGCGGACACAAAACATAAAAGGAACGGACTTGAGGAGAGAATGAAGAAAGAAAGAGAGTGTGACAAATATGCGATAATATCGTACGACAGATTGATTGAGGACAAAACAAGTGCAACCAAATAATGCTAATTTAGTTTCTTTATATAAAAGTGCTGCATTTTTTCAATTTAGAGAAATAACTATGTAACTGTTTAGAGACAACGTTCTTCAAGTTTTTTTCATCACAAAGTTCATTATTTGTACACGAAAATTAATAAACTCATTAAAAGTATTAAAAAAAGTTGATTTTCTTCTGGAAAAAACAAGTGCAACTCCACAAAATATTGACCAAGCTGTATTTCGCTATCAATATTTCGTGGTGAGTCCTTCGTAGTCGATCACAGCCTTGCATCTTCGAGGCATAGATTCAATCAGGTGATCCATGAAACTTTGTGGAATTGCTGCCCAGGCCTTTTGAATTTGTTCAAACACTTGATCCTTATTAAAAATACCTTCACGATTAATTCTGCGGTTGACCATCTCCCACAGGTTCTCGATAAGGTTGAGATCCGGAAATTGAGGCGGCTAATCCATCACGATAGGTGGTTGTCTTGAAACCACTGCTTGACTAATTTTGAAGTGTGTTTTGGATCGTTGTCTTGCTGAAAAACCCATTTATTGGCATATTCCATTCAGCATGAGGTAACATAACATCTTTCAGGATATTTTTATACATGAAACGGTCCATTATTTTATCGTTTCGATGTATTGGGCCTAGACAATTAGCAGAAAAACACCCCCAGACCATTACATTGTCTCCACCATGCTTCACAGTCTTATGGTAGTAACGTAAATCGAGGCGTTTTCCGGCCGGTCGACGTACATGGTAAATGCCATCGCTCCCAATGATGTTGAACTTCGATTCATCACTGAACAGGATAGTTCACCATTTCTGCACATTCCAGTCAATTTGAGATGTAGCAAACAGGAGTCTTTTCTTCTGGTTCTTTAGTGAAATTAGCTGTTTCTTTGCAGGGCGTCGAGAAAACAATCTGGCTTTAACAGCACGTCGTCTGATTGTTTGGTCCGATACAGGCAACTCTAATTATTTTTGTATCTCGACTGATGATATCCAGGGATCCTTCTTGACGGATCTGACGATCATAGAATTCTCTCTAGAAATGGTGGAACGCGGTCTTCCACCTTAGTTATCTGCTGCCAACTTCCCGTTGAACGTATGTGGAACATAGTCTTAATACGGTCCATTTTTTCACGCGATATTTATCACTAATACTTTTTTGTGACCTTCCACTTACGTAATTGCTAATAATTTTCTTTCTTAGTTCCAATCCAAGACTGTCGGGAGCCATTTTTGCACTTGAAGTCATAAAAATAATAAGAATAAATAATCACGCTTCTCAAGGCTTACCATGTTACACTTACCTTGTTATGATACAATAATGCTCTGTGGAACACAACGTCTTGGTTGGATATGGATTGTATTGATGTAATGAAACACTTGTTGTATTTCACTTCTTGTATTGATGTTCTTTGATAAAACTCACTTCGATAAACTGTCTTGATAATACTGACTGATTGACTTATACTGACTGAACTACATGTCGGTTTACATGTCTCTTATACAATAAAATGAACCTGTGTGAACCTGTTCTGAATAGTTCTAGATTCTTCTTCTCGCTGCTTCTGGTAGCTTCTGGATGTTTCTGAATGTTTCTAGATACTTCTAAATGCTTCTGAATGCTTCCAGACGCTTCTCCTTAAAACCTCTGGAAGCTTCTGCATGCTTCTGGAAACTTCAGGATACTTCCTTTAATGATTAAAAAATTTCCGTGACGTTGACACGGACCAGACTTAAGAAAATGAAACAAACCAAAAAAGTTGCACTTGTTTCGTCTGCTGTAAAATGCCACTTTTCAACGAAATTCTGCCTGTGTGATGTCATTTGTTAGCTGAATGCTCATGTCATGGCATGCTATGACTCCAGACTCCTGAACTGTTTGCTGTCGTAGTATAGTTCGTTTCGTTTTTAAGACATGTAAAGTTAGGAACACTTTTTAGCATTGTTTGATGTTGGTTGCAAATGATTTGTCCAATACTGTATATATATATATATATATATATATATATATATATATATATATAAATATATATATATATATATATATATATATATATATATATATATATATATATATATATATATATATATATATATATGTATATATATATATATATATATATATATATATATATATATATATATATATATATATATATATATATATATATATATATATATATATATATATATATATATATGGTTTTTCAGAATTATTTAGAGGAACAATATATTCAAAATTTGGTTATAAAAACGGATACTTTTAAGACAGCTAACACCTTGAGTTTTACAATTATATTGACTCTTTTAAAGCTGATAATTACACTATTGCATTTAAAAGCAGTTTTGCTATCTATGCTTTTTTTTCAGAGAGTAAAAAAATATTTAACATTGCCAAAAAAAACTGCATAAAATCATGATATTAGAAAATAAATTGTGATATATCAGAAAGGGAAATTAAGTGTAAAGGCGAGTTTCCACTCATCCGTTTTTCAACGGGAACGGGATAGAAAATGAAAAAATAATCACATGAGCATGCGTAATAAAAGTTTTTATTTGTCCGAAAGAAAACTGCGCATGCTCACGTGAATATTTTTCCGTTGCTTTTCCCTTTCCCGTAGAAAAACGGATGAGTGGAAACTCACCTTAAAAAATGTGCGAATTCCCAGACAACAAATGAAACTACTTAAGTATAAAAATTTTAAATTAAAAAAAAAACTAAATTTAAAAAAATGTACAAAAATTACCATTCTATAATCAAACTTGATAGTAGAAAAGAAGAATTAAAATCAACTGGTCATAAACTGGATCAAGAGATCCAGTTTATGACCCTAACCCTAAATTTTTTCCTGATATTTTTGATCAATAGCTTATTGACTAAACATGTATATATATAAAATCTATCAGGGGCAGATCCAGCACTTTTTGGTCTTTGAGATAACTTCTAGACATAAAGCAAA